GGCTTAGTATCACAAATCTCAGTCTACAACAAATGGAAATTCTGACTATAGTGAAATAACTTTAAATGCCTTTTATTATCAAGATCTTTTTTTCTTAGCCATCCCATGAAATGACTATTAAACATGAATTACCAATTCAGTTTATAAATGGGGAAACTGAGATTCAGGTATATTAAGAAATAATTTATACTGTATTAATTAATCAACTAATTAAATTACTTTGAGTGCCTACTCTAGGTTTAAGATTAAACACAACATAGGAAATACAGCACAAAAAAATCCAAACAAAATTCCAAAACATAAGAACAACTGAATAAGACAGAAACAGCAGCAGCATAGCAACAAAAGCTGAGACAGAGTTCTTCAATCTGGGTGCTTTCAGTGTACCTGGAAAGGCATACGATATACAAAAATATATGTGAATTTAAACTATCCAGAATCATGAAAGAAATTAGGACACTAACCTATTAATACTGGTGTGGGCCTCTAAGTAACCTGACTGAGCAATTCTTGGAGGATTGGACATTGAAACCTAGCCTAAAATCGAGAGTGTACAGACAGTAAAAGAGAGATTCAGCCTGTATCAAGGCTTCAAAGTGAGAAATAATTCTTGAAATGTATGATAATTTCTTAGGAAATGATCAAGATAGAAGTAATTAAAATGTATTGAGACATTGTGTTGGTTTGGGAAACCTCTTTAAAAGAAATCTTTGGAAGAGAGACACCTAATGTCAGATAACAAAGAAACTGTGATGAAATGTAAGGGTCGGGGAGCTGTACGCTGCATTCCAAGGCCAAGGATGGGTAGTGGGTGCTACACATTACCTTCTCTGAAAGGCTGACAGAAAAAGATTTGTTCAAGGCAATCAAAGTGATTAGGAGATAAAAGGTAGGAAGAAATGACTGGTCGTTATGTAAGAAAAAATGTTCTAATCATTTTCCTGTGCCATGAAGGAATTGACCAAATTTCATTCCATTGAATTGCAGTAATCATGGGGACACCCCGCTGAGAAGGCTTCATTGGATGTTTCCTTCTTCTTCTCTTCTTCTGGTCTAGACTAAATGACACTACAAACTCTATCCAACTCTAAAGCATCATTATATATCTATATCTAAATCATATGGTTACAATATGGATTGATTCACAAGAAGCCTAGGCAATGACATTCTATGATGAAATGACTTAGAAGCACAACTCCCACTCTACAACAAATGGAAACTCCGACTATGGTGACATAACTTTAAATGTCTTTTATTATCAAGAGGTAAACACAAGACAACTAATCAGGCAAAATTTCAACTTAAATACTAGAGGATAACTCAAATTTCATGCAAATACCCGAAGAAAAATCTTATGTACTGCCATGTTCAAATTTTCTATAGCATACATGGATCTGGGAAAACATGTGCCACTCATATACTCCTATAAAACTTACAAACTGTCTTTATCCCCAGTCAGCACTTGATGAATAAATTCACACTTCTCAACTGGTAATTTATCACTTGGTAAGTTATTTTTCTTATTTATTTTGGTTTCTTCCCCTTTAGAAAGTAAACATTATGCAGGCAGCATTTTGTCTGCTCACTGCAGATTTCAGAAATTTATTTTTTTTGCCTTTGTGACAAATGGTGTGTGCTTGATAGATGTTCTTTTAATTAATCAACCATATCTAATGTGTTTAATAGCTTAATTAAAGTCACACAGCCACCAGGGTTTTGCATGCAGGCAGTCTGACTTTAAAGACTGATTTACCATCATCTGCTAAGCTGATAAACTATCCTAATATCCACAGAATGGAGATTCCTGGATTCTAAATTCTCTCACCCTGTCCTGAGCAAAGCTTGCAGGTAGGATATGGAGGAATGATATAGGTTGATAGTAAATTATTCAGCCTGGCCCACAACCATTCCTTAACAAGTGCCTATCCATGCCTCCCTCCCAATTTGCTTTCGTTCCACAAGACATTGGCCCATCCTTTGCTTTAAACATTGCAAGGATGCAGGCCTACTGAGTTCTGTTTTATACTTTATCAAGTATCCCTTTTATAAAGGGATAACATTACCGTATGTTTACATCACAAAGTATAATGGTTTCTTCCTTCATTCAAGTTGCTGATTTTCATGTTTCTTTATAATTTCCCTTGTCTTTACTGTGTTTCATTGTATATTGTTCATATTTTATTTGCTATTATTAGAAAGCCATCTATATGTTTCAAAGCTATACTTCATACTTCAAAAATTCCCAGTATCTAGAGTAAAATGTTTTTTTTTTTTTGCTTTTGTCTTACATGGGAAAATTAGAGGGTTTTGCTCACATAGTTCAGTCTCCAACCCTTTTTCAGTTTCTTGCTTACATGACAGTGAATTTTGGACCCAAATCACAATTGTTAATTTTTACATTGTATATCTCCTCTTTAAGTAATTTTTTTACATTAACCTTTTGTTTTGCAGAGTATTTGGAATGGTTATTTAGCATCAATTCAGTGTCTAATTAGTTTCCTGCTCACTGTGGGTCTTTTATTCCATTCTTCTCTATTCTTGGATTCTTTGTTTTGATTCATTGCTAGTCAATTGTTCTTTGAATGATTTATTAGAAGCAGGGCATGGAGGTGGCTCTGTGTACCAAGGTGTAGTCTTTCTGTTGTATCTGCCCAAGAACAATGACTGTGGCTGGTTGGAGATTGTGGCTGATCACCCTCCAAAGCCCTCCTGGTTTAACTGCATTGTCTCTTGGCCTCTATGATACACAGAGTAGGAAATGAGCCAGACAGAGATTTGTTAGTGAGGGAATAGCTGTTCTATTCCTATGACCTTTTTGCTCAATTTATTTTTCTGGTACAACTTAATGCTAAAGACAGTAATTTTAAGCAATGTGTGCCTTTTTGTCAGAAAAATTCAGTCTGAGTGCCCACATCTGACTGCTTTTCCTTTCTGTGTTTCTGTGAGCCCATAAGCATGCATCCAATTCTCTTCCTGCTGTATATCTTGGCTAGAATTATAATTCCACAAAGGTAGAACAGATGATGTGGAATGGAAGGCACAGGTAATTCATGGCATTGTTCCTCTTCAAACTGCCTCTAGGGCAAATTCAGCTTGAGTACCTGTTTTAATTTTTCTATGTATCAAAACCCCATGTCTTCCAGAGAAGGGGCTATGCTGTGATATTTAGGGAGAAAACCATCCACTAGATGTTTGGTGTCAACTGATATCCCTTTAACAGCCAATCATTCTTGGGTTAGAAAAGCACCTGGGATAATTAGTCTCCAGTAGTCTTGGTGTATTGCTAGCTCTCTGAGCAGTATGTGTGTGGGGATACAGTAACATGAGACGGGGCATAGGCATCTCATCCTGTTAGCAGACAGGAAACACAACCCTATTTCTCCCTATGCGCTGAGAGCCGAGAAAGCCATATCTTATCAGAGAGCTGTGCTGAAGCAGTGCACAGGCCAGCATGGGATTCAGAGATCTAAAAGCAAGATGGGTCCCCAGATGCTTTGGCCCATGTTTGTGTCTTCATGCTCAATACACCAGAATGCTTCTTGCAGAATAGGGCCCAGATGAACAGGTGGAAGGCAGTCTGGAAAGTTTCTCTTTGTAGCTTTATACTCTCAGTGAGGAGTGTTGCTTGAACCAGTAATAAATGCAGAACTGAAATATCAAAATGGAATTTAAATGGGCATGTGGACACTCTAAATGTTAATTAGTTCCTCAGTCCAGGGTTTTTCCCCCTCAGGCAGTGATTGTCACTGACAAACTAAACTGTACTATGTACATGACACTAATCTCGCTTTGGTCTCAGTCCTTATTTGCAATGAGCTGTCACTTCTGCAGACACATTACATGATGTGGCATACTTCAGGCTTCCTCCTGTATCTATAATCTCTTGGAGGGCACCTACTAACTGTAATATGAACCACAGGGATTCACACATGATAGTGGTCATCATATGCTTGATGAGTAAATTATGAAAGCATGGGATATGTCCATGAAAGTAACCTGAATGGGAAAATACTAGCATAAGAAGTATTAGCAGACAAGATGAACGTATGGGAATGGTTTAAGAATGAGTAAGTGCGTTGTGGTAAAGATTGTATGCAGTAGAAATAAATACCCTAAAGGTGACTGTATTGGCTCTATAAAGCCCCCAAAAGTATAATTGAAGAACACTGGGGAAAAGCTACCATCAAATAATATTAAATAATTATATTGCAAAGTTTTTTTAGAGTCACAATCCCCACATTGCTACTCCCAAATGGGCAAAGTAAGTTCTCTGTCATTGACTGCAAATCAAAACTAAGCACTGATAAACGTTGATCATAATGTGGTAAAGGTAACTGAAATGTATAATACTCAGGGGTGGGTGGGGATAAATGGAAAAGTGATAGATGGCCTTCGTGATTTTTCCAGGCTTGTGAATGTGTGATATTGATTGATACAACTACCAGACGAAGGAAACACTTGAGACAAAAACAGTCACTTTGTTTTTAAGATAAAAAAATTTTTTTGAATGTGACTCATGGCCATGATAAGAGGAATGATTGTAAAGGTGAACTGAAACACATTCCTCCTGCATCCAGACACTGATAGGCATCAGTACTACAGATAAAGGAATCTTCACTCAGGCCACATGATTTCTTTCAAGTGTAGCACCTTTTCCATACTCCAATATAAGTTTACAAACGTTTTCCATAGAAGACATACAAATAAATGCTTTAGGTCTTGTGACTGTACAGTATCTATTGCAACTCGCCAACTTTACTCTTAAGCATCAAATCAGCCATCAGTAATATGCAAACTAAGAGGCAATGTGGCACTAAAAACAAAACCAAAAATTGAACAAAAATCAAGCAATTAAAAAGTCAAACTTATTTCCAAATCTTAAAAGACATGAGGTCTGGACTTTGTTTTGGGCCTCAGTTCACGAAACTCTTCTGTAAAGTCTCACAGACTTCACACTTGAGAAGAGGAAATACAAACCAGGCAAGTAATGGCCTACTTACTCCGTTTGCTTTGCTGAGTGCCTGGAAGTAGATGCTGTAGCTCTTCAACGGGGAGAGGGGAGGGTTCCAGTAGCCATTGTAAGTCTTGTTGTCTCCCACTGTAAATGGCTGGGTGACAGGCAGGTTGGAGGGCTTCAGCTCAGCAGCAAAGTAGTGGAGAGAATCAAGGTTGGAAGCATTTCGGTAGCTCACGGGTACAGAGAAACACTCGATGATGTCAGCTGCTCTCCGGGACTTCTGAAGACGCTCCTCCTTAACAACTAGCTGGTAAACACTGGAAAAGAAAGACAAGAAGTAGATGAGTCCCTTGGTGGACAGTTAAGATCATTAGCATTCATCGTGCTTGTATAACTCCTTGGCTTTTGCTTTCCTTTCAGGTGATCATCTCCTGATTCCCACTAATCCCAACAGCTCTAGATATTCAGCTACTATATAAGTATCCTATGACTGACCTTCTCCATCACCAGCTTGTCCTTCCTCTATTTGAAACACTCACCAATGCTAACCACCTCTGCCTATAAAAGACTTCCAATAATACTGATGTCTTTCTTATATTTACTCCATGAAGCCTGTCTAGATCTGTCCAGAATGAATTATTCCCAACTCATTCTTCATTGTCTGGTTGATTCTGCAAATGCATAAGATGGGACATGTGACTTGCTGGCTCAATTGTATCCTTGACAAAAGTGTGGCTTAGTTATCTCTGAATCACTCTATCCTCTTCCCCATCATACACATGCACACAGTGCTCAGGAACAAGCCTGACTCTAAGTGATCAATGAACTTTTTTTGAAATGAATCAAAGTGGATTGAATTAAAGTTGAAAGTCAGCATGAAGCGAAATCTGGATGGATGCAGAAACTCTAATCAGGGTTAACAGTGATTCCCAGGAGAGTATGCCAAGTAATCTCATATCATCCCCTTCGACTAAGACTATAAGGAGGTGCCAGTGTGTGCATAGAGATGACAGCCTTTATTGAATATCAACCATATGCCAAGTATGTAGATTGTCTTTGTGGAAGTCACTCAAAAATTTGTGAATTGGGTAAAAACCCCGTATCCTTGGAATGCTCAGTATAGAATGCTCAGTGTATCTCTCTCTTGAGCACCTTTTAGAAGGGTTCTATTGCATTTTAACATTCATGATCTAAGACAGAAGATGGATTGTCCAAAGAGTATGAAAACATTTATGTGAATTAATGATGTGGTTATAGATTGTGCTCATTGTTTAAACTTAATATACTTAGCACATGCTTTATGTAAATAGATTAGCATAGGCTTCAACCCTCTGTTTAGATTATCCATCCAAGGACACCAGATTACAAAGCATAGTTTGGGTAAAATACAAAGCCAGGACTATTTCATTAAGTTGAATGAAGGCTGTGAAGGAACTCCTCTAAAAAACCTGTAGCATCATTGATGGGTCAGACATTCCTTGATTTTCTCTGAACATCAGGATGCTCACTCATGCAAATAAGGAAGGAATGCATGTGAGTGCATAACACCTCTGAAGGAGAGCCTAACAGCCCAGAGTGCATATGAGTGACAGGAGTGAATGTTGTCATTGTTACAGAAATCACATTCTACAGCTGAGCATCACAATGCCCAAAAGAGGGGCTGCAGCCCTTGAGTGTCTCACTCTAAATGAAAGTAATGTCCAGAGCTTATGAAATGGTTCAGGGGGTTAGAGCACTCAATAGTATGCCTGTTGAGTTGAATCTGAGCTTTGGAACCCCTGTAAAGATGGAAACTGACTCCTGGGAGTTGTCCTCTGACACTGCCATCACATATTATGCACATGCAGATCAATGAATTAATCAATAAAAAATAAGGCAACACACAGATAAATGCAGGTAAGTATTTGGGTTTCAAAAGAAGTGTGAATGACCCCTGAGCATGCATAGTGGCTTAAGATTTCCACATGACTGTGCATGTATGAGCGCCTTCTATGTCCATAAAGCCAGTGGAAGGTAGTCTATGCATAACTATGATTTAAACTCACTCCAACCTTATGTGTAGTTTTTCTTGAATGAAAACCCTTATGTTTATCAGTTAACTAAGACCTATACCTAGAAAACATGAACAGGAGTAGAGGGGCGAATGCAAGGAATTGATAAGACCCACATTGTTCTTTATCTAACAACAGTTTTAAGTAAATCTTTGCATCTGCCTAACTAATTGAGGGTCCTTTATTCAAGGGGCTCTGATCATTAAGGACACAGAAAGAGGATGCATACAGTCTCTTACGATTCCTCCTGAACCTAAAATAGAATCTAACGATGTTGTGTACTGAATTAGGTGGCTGGACTTCCATTCAGCCCTTCTATCCTCCTGATCAATGCCAAACAGACACTTCTAGGACTTGAAAGGGTCCCTGCTTTTTCCTAAAATCTAATCGTTCCTCACCTCCTCTGTTCTTCACAACATGAGACCTTTGTCTTGGTTTCTTAGCTAACTTTCTTATCCTACATTGATTGGATCCCTTCAACATCCTTGGTTAGTCATTTAAGAATGCAAAGCTTTTGGAGATTCTTGAGCTGTCTTCTTAAACACAAATTCTCTCTCTCTCTCTCTCTCTCTCTCTCTCTCTCTCTCTCTCTCCTCTCTCTCACACACATTTATTTATTTATGTTTTTTGTTTTTACATACTGATGGCAGTTTCCCCTTTTCTTCTCCTCCAAGTCCTTCCCCAACCTCCTCTTGTTCCTCCCTCCATTTAGGACTCCTCCTCTGTTTCTTTTCAGAAAAAGATGTATACCGCCAGTTATGGTATATCAAGTTGCAGTGAGACTAAGTATTTCCTCTTCTATTAAGACTGGACATGGCGCCGGGCAGTGGTGGCACACGCCTTTAATCCCAGCACTCGGGAGGCAGAGGCAGGCAGATCTCTGTGAGTTCGAGGCCGGGCTGGACCGATAGCCTCCAAAACAATACAGAGAAACCCTGTCTCATAAAAACCAAAAAAAAAAAAAAAAAAAAAGACTGGACATGGCAATTTGGTAGAAGGAAAAGGTCAGAAAAGTAGACAGCAGAGTCAGAGACAGCCCCAGCTCCCACTGTTAGGAGTCTCATAAGAAGACCAAGTTACACAACTGTAACGTAATTAGAGTGCCTAGGTCAGTCCCATGCAAGTTCCCTGGTTGTCAGTTTAGTCTAGTTTCTGTGAGCCCCTGTGAGCCCCTGTGAGCCCCTGTGAGCCCAGGTAAGTTGATTCTGTGAGTTCTGTATCCTTAACTTTGCTGTGATGGACTGGATCAAGAAGAACCCAGGGCTTGAGAGTGTAACTGTGATGAGTCAAGAAAACAGATCATGGCTGCGTTTTAGACACTTGGTTGAGCAAGGTTGTTGGGAGAAAGCATAGCATTTACACAGGCATAGTCCCATCATCTCTTATCTGGCTGTTAAGTTTGGTTGAATTGACAAGCAGATATGTAATAATCAGGTTGAAGGGATGAGGGTAAACTTGAGAGGTTAAGTGATCTATGTGTGTCAGTTCAGCAAAATCAGCTCGGACCTCCTTCACAGCTCAGTTCCTTTAAAAAGATGCTTCTTTCCCCCAAACCAACATAATTCACAAAGGGCAACCTGAGAAGTTTTTAAAGTTGGTGGCCTAAACTGCTTAGTTTGTATCCCACCTCATATGAAATCACAAAGAGGGAGAGAATAAGGGCATTTTGGAGGTTAAGCTGTGGAGTCAACATATGGTACACATATGACTGGAATTATTGTGCCGAAGCAGATTCAGCAGTTCCCACAGGCCCACCGCATCTGCAGCTTATCCATTCAGATATAAACTGCAAGTGTCACCAGAGAGCCAAAAGCCTTTTTGTCAGATGAGCCTGCCTTCCTGTGCATCCAGCTCCTCCCCACAGCCAAGGGAGAGAGGAGAGCACGGTGGCACACAGAGGAGTGGCGGAGGAGAGAGACAGGAGCATGTGCATTGTTTCTGTTTCCTCCAGAAACTTTATTCTCACCATTCTCTTAGAAATAAACCTATCAAAAACTTACTCCTTTCGTTTCTCTGGTAATGATAAGTGCATACCTAAACGAGAATAATCTGCTCCAAAATTATATCCCCAGTCCTAGAGGAGAAGGTTGCAATACACTACACATGGTTGTTTGTAGGAGGGACATTTTAATATGAAAATCCTAGTGCCTTAATAAAAGAAGAATGGAAACTAGCTCAAGGTGTATTCACTCATGCAGTTTCCCAACTGTGTTGACTTCTGTCTCTTCTAATGAGAAGATGGGCATTTGTGATGTTTCTTTATATGGCTTGCCCTGGAAGTCTCCATGAGGGCCCCACAGGTCATGCTGTGCCCCAGCTCCACCTTTACTCTAAGGTAGCTGCTATGATGCCCCTAAGAGTGTGTGACTTCAGCTTTAGTATCACCTCCCATTGAAGGTAAGGGCATTCCACTCTGGTACCAGGTCCCAGGTCCCAAGGCCTTCTGTGTCCATGGATGACTTCCTCAGACACCTCCAGAGGCTTTGGGAAACCTGGCCACTTGGTCACCCTGCTGTCTCTGATATCAAAGCAAATACTTTAGATAATGATTCACATCTCTTGCACTTGATTCCTCTGACAAGCCAGCCAACTTTCTATTGTTAAATCCAGGGCTTCTTTTCTGTATGTGGGGCAGATGCCTACAGACAGATGTAATACCAATTTGAGATGTGGATTCAGCTAACAGATGGAGAGTAGGCTTCAGTTCCCAGGTGAACATTGCCCAACTCTAGGCAGGTGCACATTTTGGTTTGTGCTCTCCCAGAAAAAGATGTGTGAGTGCATATTCCTCCAGGGACTGACTCCAAGTCAAATGGTGTGTTATAAAAATGGTTCCAAGAGAAAACGGTAAGGGAGGGAAGCAGGAGAGAAAAGTGGGTAAGACAATCAGGGCCGTGCTATCAAGTGAAATCCTGAAATCCCAAGTCAAGGGCAATCTGTTTTCAGCTCTGGACTTTCTTAGGGATTCCCAACCATTTATGTGGATCAGTCAATGAGTCCCTAGTGCCTACTAACCACCCTCAAAAGCAGGTCACACCTGAGAATCAATATATCAATGCACATAGCACCTGGGTTACTGGCACAGCATAGGAAAGGGGCATGATGAATCTATGGAGAACAACTCTGTGCCCTACAGGGTGCTTTTAAATGGTGTCCATATGGTGTAAGCGACACAGTGATCCAATGCTGAGAGAACAGGCTAAAGCCTGGACAGGGTGGCACTGTGATTTATTCTTCTCCTCTCCTCTCTTCTCCATTCCTTTTCT